ACTGCTTTAGCAGTCTCTCGAGACCAGACTCACTGATTTGGTCCCCTTCTCCCTCTGGTGAATTCTTGATAGATTCCTTCTACAGGTCTCTTAACCCTTAATCAACCTCTCCTAGGCTCTACCCATACCCCACAAGATCAAGCATTTATATGGGTGCTACTACAGGGCAGAATCCTTACCCTGGACCAACTCCTAAAAAGGGGATTTGCCTTCCCCAACCGCTGCATCCTGTGTCTCCAAGAAGAGGAGACCATCCCCCATCTTTTCCTCCACTGTGAAGTGTCTCAATGCCTTTGGGCCTCTCTTCTCAAGCTGTTTGGCCTTCAGTGGGTCACCACTGGTAACCTAACCCAGTTTTTCCAAATATATTTTGCACTACCTTTTTCCCTAAAGGGTAGGAAGTTATGGCATCTTGTTGTAGCAAGTCTCTTTTGTAGTTTGTGGTTAGAAAGAAATTCCCGAACCTTCAGAAGCATACAATAAACTATAATAGTTGTTTTTGATTCCCTAACTGCACTTATAGCTTTCTGGGCCAAGTTCATTCCCATATTTGCTGCCCTCCCAATTTCTCACTTCCTAAACAACTGGGATGGCCTTTTACACCTCGCACCTCACATAAACAGACCGAGACCTAACTGGTCTCCTCCCCTGGATTTCTCAAACTCAATATAGATGGTTCCCCTTTAGGTAACCCTGGGCCTTCAGACTTTGGAGGAATCTTGTCGGACCATTCATCTACCCTTTGGACCTTCTCAGGGTTTATAGGACACCAAGACTCAACCTATGCGGAGGCTAAGGCCCAACTGGTGGGCCTCAACAAGGTGCTTTTAACAGCACCTGCAGCACAAGGCATTCAGGTGGAATCAGATTCTCTCAACATCATTGGTTGGGTCACACAAAAAGCGATTACCTCCAAGGAGATTTTCTTCCATTTTTTATCGTATTTTTTATTTATGTAATTCCCTTCAGGTGTCCTTTACACATATATACAGAGAGGCTTACGCGGAGGCAGACAGACTAGCCAGGGAGGGAGCTATCCTTGGCTTGTAAACATACCGTGATTTCTTTGGGAAATGAGGGAATACAAAACAAAGAAAAAAAAAGAAAGGAAAAAAAAAGGAGAAAAATAGAAGAAGAAAAAAAAAAAAAAGGAAAAAAAAAAAACATGGCATGGTTGTTCTTGTAAGCCTATATTCCTTTCTTTAGCTACCTTTCTATTCTTTACACTCGCCCTTTAAATCCATCTCTACCATCTCCTAAGGGACCTTCTTTAAACAAGGTAAACTCACCACCAGGTTTTCTCTCTCTGCCACATCTTGTCATTGTACTTCTCCTCCCATGCCCACCATTCTGGCGGATGTCATCACCCATTGCATCTTTTCCATTGTTCTTTTCATATGTTACCCCATACACCTTTCTATCTTAGTTCTCCTCCCATGCCCACAATTCTGGCGGAAGTCATCACCCATTGTAGTAGCTTTGGCTGCTGAATAAAAAAGAAGGAACTTTTAAGTTTTCTACAGAAATTACATTTCCGTTCCATCAGGACAAAAAGATCAAAGATCGGCTGCAACAAGAAAGGTACACATTTCTGTGGCTTAATTCCCCCTTCCTTCTCTTCTGCCTTTCGCTATCTCTCTCCTTTGTTTCTATTTCCTCCTCTCCTTCCTCACCTAGCTTCGCCTCTCTTTCTCTTCCTTTTTTACATCCACACTTTCTTTTCTCTCCTATCCCCCCATCTCCTCTCCGTCTTGCTTTTCAACATCCACAATCTCTTTCTCTCTTTTCCCCCCATCTGACCTTTCCTAATATACAATCATATCTCTTCTCCCCTATCCCCGCCATCTAAAAATTTGTCCTAGTTTCTCTTTCTTCTAGCCTTTGTAAGCTTCCCCCACCCACTCAATCTTAACTTCCTCCTCTCATACTCTTCAACTTCTTCAACAGAAATCTTCAATCCCATCATCTCTACTACCTCTTCAACTTCCCTTTTCTCCACCCACCGAAGAGGTGCTAGCCTCCGGAGCTAGCCTATTGAAGTTGCAGTACTCATCGAAGACAGTACTGCCCAAGCCTAAATTTCTTGAAGACCCTATCGCCTCTCCACTGAAGACCCTCTGCTTAGTTGCAGCTTTCCCTTGGTTGCCAATTCCTTCATGGAAGATTTCTCTCATCAGGGTAGGCTCCTCAGGGAAAGCCACTACAGTCCTGCCCAAGTTTTATCTCCTGAATTCGGGGTTGCAACAGAAAGCCCAAGGGGTCACTTTTACCTCTGCTGACCTCTGCCAAGCGGCATACATGGCTTGACCCCTCAGGGGGACTACATACCTACGAACTTAGCTTGTCTATTGAGGTACCAGTGCTCAACCGGCCCACAGTGCTGCTCTAGCCACTACCAAAGTCCGCCTGCTACTTGATGTACCAGCGCTCTTAGCAGAAAGTGCAACAGATCCATAGTGCTCATCTGCTTGCTCGTCGACCAAAACCAAATTGAGGATGTCAAACAGTCCACCGACAGTGTGTTAACTGTTTTTGCACCAACAGTGTGTTACCAGTTATTGCATTATGCTGTATTTAAATTGTCCTCCTTTTCTTCCTTCATTCTTTTTTCTTTTCTTCGTCTTCTTCCCTCTAGTTTGTTCTCTGAGCACCTAACTTTTAGGCTGCCGTATTGTTTTGCTCTACTTGTGTAATTGTCCAATATTCTATACAAGTTAACCTTTCTTCAAAAAAAAAATACTTGACAATTTTTTGTTGAAACTTTTAATAAATCCAGCAATAATGCTTACTCTGTTGTCACTACACAAAACATATCGTAGATTTATTTGGAAGCATGAAATGAAACAACAACAACAATACTAAACACAAGAACTAATTAGCAAATAACAAGAATTGTGAACCAATGTATAGGATTATTTTTCAAAGGAAAAAAAACAAAAAACGCCTTCAGTATAGGATTGTAGTTAATTAAAAGAAAACACAAAGACCTAAATATGTAAAATAGTGGTCCATCCAAAATGCTATGTTGTATATATGAATCAAATCAAAAAAATAAGAAATAAAAAATAAAAATTAGTCAAACTTCTGCGTTAAAAAAGCAACAAAATGGTTAAGCAAATTTGAATCTTGCACTGAATTCCTAGCTACCTAAATCTTTAGTATCATGGAATCTCTCTCTTTGTCTTTGCGGTTTAAAGGAAAAATAAAATAAAAAGATTATTCTTTGGGTTACACTTCTTCTAATTCTACCTATTATTTTATAAAATACGATTGTTTTGAATTTTTTTTTTTTGGGAATATATTGCTTGTATTTTTCCGTACATTTTTTTCAAGGGAACTAATTGGTGAAATTTTTGATAGATTTTTTTGTTAAATCAAGATTCTTAATTTACTCCCATTGGTAATGTACTTATATTTAAACCAAAATTCAATAGTATTAACTTGATGAAGAAATAAAGTTAGAAGGATGAAGTTTATTTGAAGAGGTCTTTTGAAAAAAAATATAATATGAATTTATATCGGTTCCATTAAAAAGTGCAATTTTTTGAAGATCTTTTGAAAAATCGGTGTTCTTAACTGATTTCAAAAAGTTGGAGATTTTTTGAAAAAATCATCTTTTAGACAAAGACTTTCTAACTATGGCTCGGATCAATTCAGTCATATAGGCCCAAAAATGTTGTACAAAAACTGGCAAAAATTTTTAATCAATGTTTCAAATCCGCTTCGCTTCAGCCGAAGAGGCCAAAGCCTTCGGATTTTAGCCATAAACCGAAGCGAAGCAAAGCCTGGTGTTGCCGCTTCAGTCAGATTCGGGCCGCTTTGGGCTACTTCGGTCAGATTTAGGTCTGCATCGAGCAGCAAAGAAATAGCTAAATGAAAGTGTTTTTTGGTTTTTTATTTTTAATTTTTCCACTATTTGTATATATTTATACATAAATAAGAGATGTTTATTTATATTAAATTAAAAAAAAGTCCGAAGTCTTCCCCTGAATTGGTCGAAGCACCGAATTGCTTCATTTTTCTCACCAAACCGAATAAGACTCCGAAGAGAATCTGAGAACATTGATTTTAATAATCAAATTATTACGGTAAATGAAAAATGATGACCATATTAGCTTATTTTGATGAAATTGGAAAACCTTTAAATCTGAGAGTCTGATTCCTGTCTGAGTACCTCTTTCATTCATAGTTTAAAATGGAGTAAGTCAAAATCCATAGGAACACTCAGATATCAAAATATTACTAAATAAGTACAATATACTTCTAGAGCCAATATTAATGATGAGGTGGCTCAAAGACATCCCTACCACCATGATCCCACGCACTGTCATCCCTTTGAGTGAATTGGTCAAGAAGCGAGTTTCAGGGGTTCGGGATCTTGGGAACCAAACTAGCTATAATTGGTCGAGGTGCAGCTCTGGTAGGGCATACCTTACTCCGACGCTTGAGTCCCCTAAGTTAATTCAACCCTCAGGCTCGCCCGGACTGCTGTTGCTGCGGCTCTGGCTCAAGCTCGCTGTGTCACCACTTCCATCACTCTGAGTGCCCTCAGAAGAAGCATCATCACCATCTCCCTCTATATCTCCTCATACATCTGCTCCAGCACCTCCCTCCATCTGCTCAAACTGTGTCTTTCCTTTGCTTGTTCTACTCATCTCTGCTGGTTCACACCTTATTCTTCTTCACCATTGGGCAAGGGGATAAATGGATTCCTCGTAAAAAATTTCTTATCAAGGTCATTCCCTGTAATGTGTATTCTTTATGCACAAAATTTCGTTATCGTGTGTACTGGAACTTTTTAATGTATAACTTTGTCTTTCTATTTAGGCATTGCATTTATGTAGAAGTAATCCATATGGTAATTGATACCTGTTTGTGTTACATGCACTGCAGTGGATTCTTTTTCAAACAAAATCGGATCTTATTTATGTGAATGCTGCACATATTGTTTTCTTGTGACATTGTTTATTCTTGCTAATTTGTGTGTTCTTCATATTCAGACTTGTTTAGATGATTTCACTCATCACAACATAGATGTCGCTTGCAATCTTCTTGAGACTTGTGGACGCTTCCTGTATCGCTCACCAGAAACGACAATACGTATGGCAAACATGTTAGAGATATTGATGAGATTAAAGAACGTTAAAAATTTGGATCCTAGACACAGTACTCTTGTGGAAAATGCTTATTACTTGTGCAAACCCCCCGAACGTTCTGCACGGGTGTCTAAAATTCGTCCACCATTACATCAGGTATATCTAGGGAATTCTACGTAACTGACTACTAGATAGTTCTGTGGAAATTAAATGATCTTGCAGTTTTTGTTCCAATTCGCTATATATTTTCTTTAGTGTTTGATTTGTGTTACATTGTGTTTGAAATGCAGTATATAAGAAAATTGCTATTCTCAGACCTGGACAAGTCTTCAATTGAGCATGTTTTGCGCCAGCTACGCAAATTACCTTGGAATGATTGTGAACCATACCTTTTGAAATGCTTCATGAAGGTTCATAGAGGGAAATACAGTCAAGTTCATTTGATTGCTTCACTCACTCTAGGCTTGAGCCGGTACCATGATGAATTTGCTGTTGCAGTTGTGGATGAGGTTTGTGTTTCTTTGCACTTTCCTCACATTAAATGAGTTTGAAACATGTTCACTTATCAATGCATTCCACAAATTTTTTATTTTTTTAAGGTACTCATTCCACAATTATCTTAACTTTTTCCTCTTTACTTATCTGTGATCAAGTTTTATAGTTTGTCCGGTATAATAGATTTATGTGTTTCTATGTAGGTGGTTGTGTTACAGTACTGAACTCATGTACTGTTAAAACTGGATGCTATATAAAATTTATATGTACTGTTAAAACTTTGATTCCATGTGTATCATGGCAAATGGTGATATTGTCAAGTTGTCACGTAGTATAGAAGCCCCCACGGACAAATGCGTTTTGTAGAAAAATCGTATTGTAGAACATAGTACATCATGGATAAAAATTTATATGTTACCTATATTCAAGCATGCTTTGATTCTGTGTGTACCATGGCGAATGGTGATATTGTTAAGTTGTCACATAGTACAAAAGGCCCTGCTGACAAATGCATTTCAATGTTTTAAAAAATGGTCCGCCCAGCACCTAGTCAGCCTGGACCAAAATACTGCACGCCCAGACCTAGGTGGCCCCACTCGGGTGGATGTACTTGGGCGGGCACCCAGGCAGCCAGGCGAGCTAGGCGGGCGCCCAGGGACGTGGGCTTTTTTTTTTTTTTTAAGATACCCAAAAAAGAAAAAGGGGTAATTTGACCCCCAAAAATGTTTAAATAGGTTATGGGGACTATCTAATATTAAAAGAACAATTCCAAAAACCCTTGATGTCTTAGCTATACCTATTTCTGAGAATCAAAAATATTTTTTGTAGTTTGAAGAAGCTTCCTAAACGTTTTCACTTATTATCGAATATGGAGAGTTGGAGACTATTACTAATACATATCCTATTAGACTTTTAAATTTAGTATGGTTTGAATTTTGAAATTTTGAACAAGTTTATTCTCAACTTGCGATATGTAATATGGTTATATATAAAAAAATGTGTTACAATAATACAATATTTCCAAATTCAATAAATTACAAAATTGACACAAATGTGTATGTATATAGAACTTGTACTACAGGGCGCCCAAGATTCTGGGCGCCCGTCTAGGCACTAGGCGCCGGGCGCCAGGCTGGCCGCCTAGCATATTTTGAAACCTTGCTGCAAATTCAACCATTAAATCATGCAAGCTGATTTGGAGTCTATTGGGAGTATACATTTCCCTCTTAGGAATGACTATTGTCAGATATTATGGATTTCAGTAGTCATTTCAGTAAAAAGGCTTTAGTTTCACTAAAAGTTCCAGTTTCCCCAGGGTCTTTTCATGTTCAGTTCTTTTTAATCCTTGTTATAAAAAGCGATTTTCCTTAAAGAGCTGAACTGACCAAGTTGAATGCACTGCTCATCACTTTATTTTATCTGATGTTTGCAATCTTCAATTGTTTTTTGAAGGAAAGGCCTAAGGAGAGGCCTTTGCACATTGTCTTTTACTTCGTGCTTGATTTTCTCTCTTAAATCTGCTCCTTCCTTGTAGTGAAGTTTATCATGCATCACAATGGATTTCTTCAGTGCATTTTACGTTGAATCATTTTAGCACGTGGGTCATTCCACTTTTACATTTGAAGTTTCATGTAACTATGTATTTTATGCTTGCTGGAGATGGAATATTATTAGCCTTCTCTTTTTGTCGAATAATTTCAGGTCTTGGAGGAGATCAGGTTAGGACTGGAGTTGAATGATTATGGGATGCAGCAGCGACGAATAGCACATATGCGGTTTTTGGGAGAGCTATACAACTATGAACAGATTGACTCCTCTGTTATATTTGAAACGCTCTATTTGATTCTTACTTTTGGCCATGGCACCCCCGAGGTGAGGATTGTGTGAGCTTCTTGGTGATTATGACATTCTTGTGGGGATTTAAAAGTCATGAGATTAGTTACACAAAGTTCACTTTGATTAGCTCGGGAAACTGATTGGCTTTTCTAAGAATCTCCAGGAGAGCCATGATTCTTATCCATGAAGTCATGGAAACCATCTCATGTTGTTTATCAGCTAAACGAATTTGTTGCACATTTTCAGACACTAGAATGGACTGTTCCTTTGTAATTTTTTCCCTTGAACTCCTTAAAGATGGGTGTCATTTATATGCCTGTAATTTCTTCTGTGGCTATTACTTAAAATGTTCAATTGTGTTCTGTTTTTTGCCTTGTTTGGTTGCTAGCAAGATACATTGGACCCGCCTGAAGATTGTTTCCGGATCAGGATGATTATTACGCTTCTCCAGACATGTGGTCGATACTTCGATAGAGGATCTTCGAAGAGGAAGCTCGACAGATTCTTGTTATATTTTCAGCAATATGTTCTCAGCAAAGGGTCAATACCTCTTGATATCGAATTTGATATTCAGGTTCGTCATGCAAGCTTGTTCATCTGTTTTGGGATCACAGATATTTGCAAAGTATATGATTTTTCAATACACTATATTATGTGGTACTGTAAACCTCATCAGTTGACCCTTACGAAGGCGTATGATTGGAGATAATTTTATCTGGCTATAGGGTCCCTGTGGACCCCCTTCCAGTTAGCCTCTACCTGGCTATAGAGTCCATTTGGGCCCTCCTCCAGTTACCCTCTTGCTATACCAAAGTCTATTGGACTGTGGTATATACTTTCTCCCCTCAATATTTCTCTATAACTTGATTCAACATTAAAAGCCATTATGAAAAATAAATATAATTGAAAAGTTATACTTTAGTCCAATGTAGCTTGGTATACCTTGAAGGGGCACCCACCGTTCATTCCTGAATTACATATGGTCAGAGATTGACTATACGAGAGTTCATGGTCCATTGGGTTCCCTTACCATAAATCTTAAAGCGTCTGCTATCAGGATTGGACGGTGAGGCTCCCTTCAAAGTAGTCTACACCACAGTCCAATATATGCTATACTTTTTACCATGTTGTGCACTTTCCCAAAAAATTGGTTCCCTCTATCCAGCGCTCTCAATCTATGACTCTTAGCTACCCATTTTTTTATTTGTTTTTCATTTGTCCTCGCTGTAATCCAACCAACTGAAAAGTGCATGGGTTGCAGGACCTTTTTGCGGATCTCCGCCCAAACATGTTGAGATACTCATCAATGGAGGAAGTCAGTGCCGCTCTTGCAGAATCTGAGGACCAGGAGCCCTCCTCGTCTGATAAGCCTGGTAACACAGAGAGGCTCTCAGATACAGAAAGCCACAGGGCCAACAAGCTCCCTCATCCAACCAATCGCAATGGACAAGCAACAGTAGCCAATGGAGGGCTTGACGAGAATGGCAGGGCCGCTGATAGCGAGACTGAGTCTGACAGTGGAAGCGCAACTGGTGGTCCCGATGCCTATGAAGAGGACTCAGGACGTGGGGAACATGGTGGGTCTGATGAGGAAGATAATGAGGACGACGAGGGTGGGGTCCACATGGGGTTAGAAGAGGAAGAGGAGGTGAGGGTTAGGTCAAAGACCAAGGTGGACCCTGTAGAAGAGGCAGATTTCGAGCGTGAGCTTCGTGCCTTGGTTCAGGAGAGTCTTGATTCTCGTAAGCTTGAGCTGAGGGGCCGGCCTGCCCTTAACATGATGATACCCATGAATGTGTTTGAGGGCTTGAGTAGTGGGTCTCACCACCATGGCCGAGGTGATGAGAGTGATGATGAGGGTGCTGATGAGGAAGGGGGAGGAGGGGTATCAGTTAGGGTTTTGGTGAAGAAGGGGAATAAGCAACAAACAAAGCAATTGAGTGTTCCGAAGGGTTGTGCATTAGTTCAAGGGACTAAGCAGAAGGAGGCAGCAGAGTTGGAGGAGAAGCAAAATATAAAGAGGCTGATACTTGAGTATAATGACAGGGAGGAGGAGGAGGCTTCTGGGGTTGGAAGTGGAGGGGGGCAGGTGATGGGTTGGGGGCAGGTGGGGCCTAGTGGAGGTGTGGGGAGGTCGGTGGGGAGGGGGTTGTGGGAGGGTGGAAGGCATCATGGTGGAGGTCTTCGGGGACGGCACCACTACATGATGGGTGGGGGATATGTGCGGAGAAAGTGAGGAGCGAGAGACAGTTTTTGCCTTTTTTGGCTTTGTTATTCATGGTTGAGGGTGAAGTATGCTATGAGTGGAAAATTGGAGAGAAGAAAACTCGGGGTATAGGAGATATATGAAGAGGGTTTCAATCTTTGGTGGTTTTTGAGAGGCAACTAGGGAGAATGTGTATATGTTTATTTGGTTGGTTTCTAGGGACACAATCAGGAATAATGTGAATGTGGTCCACTGGTTTCTTGGGTTGGTTTAGAGAGAGAGGAGCGAGGCAGTAGGAAGAATTTGAAGGCGATGATGTGTTTCTTGGGTTTGAATTTTGCCTGTGAGAAGAGATGGTTGCAGCAGTAGCCCACATGATCATGGTGCTGCCACACTAAAACGACAGTAGGGAAATTTGTTGGTATCTTAAGCTTTGCTTGATGCATGAAGTCCATCTGGTTGCATGTTTCTTAGCATCGGTTCCCAGGTTCTAAGGAATGGCCCTTGGTAACTATGGCTTTGTTAAGCACCTGTGTATGGTGTGTTATGGTTTTAGGATGTTACTTGTAAAGAGGTCTGGATTCTTGAAAAGGAATTTGGTCACTAGTGCTGTTTCATGTCATATTTGATATTTAAACCTTTGTTTCATTGTAATATCCTTTCCAGCTCAGCTCTTTTCCATCGAGATTGTGTACCATGAGATCATTTACCTTTGTTTTACGGTGGTCACAATTGCTATTCATGTCAAATTGGATGGTTTAGGGTGTTATTTTTTAAACCTTGAGTCAAATCAATGATAACCACCCGATTTGAAATTTGATGTACGTGAATGATTGTGATCTTGTATTAAAAGTAACAAAAAGTATATAATGAGATTATTTACTTGTGGTACAAGCAGTGTTTTAAAATGCGGGATGCGGTCCTGATGCGGTGGGGAGGCGATGTGGCTTGGATGCGGGTGCATCATGATGATGTGGTCAATAAATGTAAAAAAATTCTAAAAAATCTAAAAAAATAAGTTAATGCATAGAAAAAAATATGAAGGTGATATATGTGATAGTAGGTATTTTAGTTTAATGATTAACTTTAAAACTATTAGCTGTCGGAGATTCTGTATTCAGTTATCCACTATCTCCTGATAGAAACTAGAAACTTGAAATCAGTTTCATAAAGCATTCAACAATCAAAGAGTCAATTTTGAAATTTGAACTTCATTTTTCAAATATCAATCAGGCAAGTCATTTTAAGAGTCGTTATGCACATCATCAATATCATACATGACGACCTTCATGTATTCTTCTTCATCGGTCTTCTCTGAGTCAGCTTCCTCCTCGACCTTTGAAGTTAATGTGCAAGTGCGACTAGACCCAACAACTCCTTTACTCCTTTGTGCTCTAGTGTTAGGTCCATCTTCTTCATTAGCTTATGTTGCTAGCTCGACATCAAGTCATGTAAATCTTCACCTTCAAACACACGCTTTTGTCTTGGATCCATGGTTCACTCACTCATGGAATCACCATCAGCTTCATATAATTGAATAGGGTTGAGCTTCGTGCGATTTTTATACCTCTCCCTAAGCCGCTCCTTATATCGCACATAAACCAAATCATTCAACTTTTTCTGCTCTAACCTATTTCTTTTTTTGGTATAGAGCTGTAGCAGAAATTTCAAATCAAATAAATTAGATTTTAAATTAGAAAATTGAAATTTAAGAAATGAGGATTAAGGAATAAGGAGTAAAGGACTTACATGCTCAAATGCACTCCAATTACGCTCACAACCAGATGAGCTACATGTGAGATTAAACACTCGAATAGCGAGACGTTGTAGATTTGGTGTCTCGCTTTCATCTAATGCCCACCATGTAGCTGTATAATATTTTATAATTTAGAATATAATTAAAAATTAAGGGTACAAAATAAACAATAGAACTATACATAAAGTAAGAGACAAATAAGATTATTTTTGGGCTTTTGTCCTTTACCTGGATCTGTAGTGTCCCTATTTTGAGTGGCAATATCTCTCTCAAAGTTTTCCAAGGCTAACTTGAACTTAATCAATTCATGGCTCTAGATCTCATCTTGGATATCTTTGTAGGACACCAACCTCTCCAACACATCTAAGAATCCACAATTTATTACATGATCTGACTCATCGATGGGTGCTTGTAGTGAAGAGATGGGTTTAGAAAATAACCGGCTGAATGGAGGTGCATGTGAAGCTGGGTGTCCCATCTCCTATCAATAATTTCAAGTATAGCCTTGCACATATTTTCATCATCCTTTAAAATATCTTTTATTTCAGTTCTTGTCCTAGTCATTGCCTCATGGATGTAGCCTATGGCGAACTTCGCATCACTATCAACCAGTCGAAGCACTCTCACTAAAGGGCGAGCCACCGCCAATGCAAGAATTATTTGACTCCAAAAAGATGTATTCAAAATAATTTTTTCAGCCTTTCTCCCATCCTTATACTTTGACTAGTTGCTTTGACTCCATTGCTCTGAAGCAAACATGGTCTTCAAGGCACTCTTTTGCTTGACTAGGATTCGAAGAGTGAGAAATGACGTGGCAAATCTAGTGATACCCGGTCTCACTAATTCTCTCCTCTTTATAAAAGCCCTCATCATGCTTAGGACTATGGTGTGATTGTAAATAAATCCAACAACAAACATAACTCTTGAAATCACCTCACTAAATAAAAATGTTGTACCTATTTCCTTAAGCATAAGATTAACACAGTGAGCTGCGCAAGGAGTCCAAAACATATGCTTCTTTTTCAAAGTCAAGAAATACCCAGCTGCAGCATAGTTAGCACCATTGTCAGTGATAATTTGTACCACATTTTGCTTCCCAACAAAATCGACATTTCTCATCCATCAAGCCACATAAGTATGTACCATCATGTGACTTGTCTGATGCATCAATAGACTTAACAAAAAAAGTACCTGTTGGGCAATTAACCAAAAAATTAATGAATGCTCTTGATTTCCCATCGGACTAACCATCACACATAATTGTGGCCCCATATTTCTCTCACCCTTCTCTCTGATGAATCAAAATTTTATTCACATCAAATACAACATCCTCCAACAAAGGCTCCCTAACCTCATGTAGTGAAGGAGAAATAAGTCCTGAGCCATATGGCCCAATTGTCTGGACCATACATGCAAAACCATCTAGAGTTATAGTATTAAAATGAATGTCGGCCATATAAATCCACTTTGCAATCCACTTACATACCGACTTTCTTTGTTCTTTCTTATATTTATTTTCAATTGTAGTATGTTTTGTTTTTTTCTCTCTCCTGAACCACAATTTCGGGGCTAAGGGTAAAAAAAGAATCCATTGGCCCCTTAGAGAAAGGTGTTCTTCTCTCAGCACTACCACCAATATTTATAACCCTCTCTCTGGAGGTTGGAAAATGAGTACCCCTTTGCATCATAGCAACTTCAGACATATAATCATCATCATCATCATCATCATCATCAACATCATCAAATAATTGCATATCATCAAGTAATTCATTTCTTGTCTTTTTTTTTTTTCTCTTCATCTTTTTTCAATCTATCCAAATATTCTCTAATATCATTTTTTATATCATTTGTAGCTTGTGGACATGCTCTTACATTCCCAAAAATTCCGGCTAAATGCTCTTTTTTTCAAAAAATACCACTCATATAAGTATTTCCACAGAGCAAGCACATCACACAATTTCTATTTTTCGGATTTTTTAGTTTAACATATTTCCAAGCCAAATCCTTGTCACTAGAAGATTGGGAAGAAGACATTGCCTAAAAAATAAGTATAACTATATTATTGTACAAGAAGGAATAAAAAGTTACCGACTCTGTGAAGCAGTGCTCGATTTCTTCACGGCCCTTGAAATCCCCAATTTCTTATCACAAATTCACCTTAACATCCCCAAATCAACAATCAAAGGCATCAAATGAACATCTAAGTATCAAACAACCGCCAAATCGAAGATTTGGATGAAAAAAAAAAATTCGCTAAACTTTTTTTTTCCCTCTATTTGATGCAAAAAAAGCCACAAAAGTGGCTGGAAATCTCGTTTAGGGGGTATAATAACCCCCCAAACAGTTTCCCTAAACTTTGGAAGTTCAAAAAGACTATTTTGCCCCTCCATGAGAGGCAAAATCGATAATTTTTTTCGCGAAAAACAGATGCGGCCTGATGCGGCCATGATGCGGCCTGATGTGGCACATATGCAGCACATCTGTCAAAAGCGCATATGCGCCAGTTTGTGATGCGGATGCGAGTGCATCCCGCATGATGCGACCGCATATGCGATGTGCCTATATTTTAAAACACTGTGTACAAGGTGATCACAATTAATCTTGACAATTGGGTGTGAAATTGGGTTGCTGCATTTATTTCATTGATCAAGCTCAGAGTTCAAAATAATTTTTCTTAAAAGTTGTAACTTTACATCATATGGTTGTAAGTTATTGTGACCTCCAAGTACCGAAGATAAATGGTCTCATTGTATACATTAAGTGAATAGTCTCTTTGCATACTTTTGTTTATGTTATTTTGCCGAGAAACACTTGCCAAAGCAACTTTTCTTTCTCTTCAAGAGTCTCATAACATTAAAGTTTTGAGGATTTCTTATTGTTTTGATGGGGGACAAGTATGCCTACTGCTGATTCTAACTCTTTGATGGGGAAGTTGAGATAATTTGCCCAAAACAAAATAGTATTTACTGAAGATGAGGTGAAACTTAATTACTCTTACGTGCAGGCCTTGTTGCGTTGTGAAAATCTCGTTTCCCTTTCGAAAGAATGAAGTATCTCATTAACCGAACTTTGTCTTAGCCATAAAATCAGACATTTAATGATTAGAAGTAATTGTGATCTCGTAACAATGATAAATGATCTCGTACGATCCCATTGTATAATTACAATCTTATTGCATAATCACATTATTAAACCTTCACTAAATGCTGTACTTTTGCCTTCCCAGTCCTAAGAATGGCAATTGATGAACCCTATCACGTAAATGATGTCCATTTCCTTATCCCTCTGGCAAACTATTTTTAATGCATTACACGTCAAAAACGAAGGAAAATGATGAGGACCGCATATTGTAGAAATGTGGTTTTCGTGATAAATATATTTTAAAATATAATTTGATTTTAATTTTTGGAGAATATATCTTTTTTAACAAGGAAATTATAAATATGAACAAAAAAAAACTAAGAAATAATAATTATATTAAAAAAACATTTGGACTGTTAGTTACACTTATTTTTAGATGGACCACCTGTTTGCATCCATCTTCAAGATAGATGCTTTATATCTCTAGAACACATATTGTTTCATGCAGTTCAGCCAGCATGAAACAATTTTCCAAATGATGAAAAATAGCAAACCTCATAGGCTTAAGGACCCGTTTGGTTCATTGGATTCAGAATTTTAAGAGTCACTTGTCTTTGAAAAGTTGGGTCAATCGTGTTTGGTTCACTTAGAATTTTGACATTTCCATTGGAATTGAGAGTTCCGTAGGATTTCTGGATGCTAATGTTAAGTCTAAATTTTGAAAATCTCAATTCCACCAAAATAGTTGGAATTAACATTTCATAGAAATTACCCATTAAGCGACTTAAGAACAAAAAATAGTAAAATTTTAAAGAGGGAAATTATATAATTTTAAAAAGAGAAAGCATATAAAATCTTTAAGAGAGAAAATATACGAATTTTTTTTAGAGAGAAACTATCTCAAATTTAAGGACTTTAAGAGACCATATTAAAATTTTAGA